ACCCCAACCCCGGGGAGGGGGACCCCCCCGGGGTTGAATGGGGGGGGCGTTTTTTTTTCCCGGTTTCCCCCCCCCCCCCCCCCCCCCCGCCGCCGCCGCCGCCGCCGATGGACATCCCGAGCAGGAGCTCTATCGCGGCGTCGACGTCCTCGCCGCATCCAGCGTACACGTCGCGTATCGCGTCCGGAGGCACCGCGGCGTCGAACATCTCCAGGAGCTCGCGCGGGCACGACGACGCGCCCGCGGACGCGTTCGAGGCCGCTCGCGCGGCGGCGCCGCCGCCGTCGTCGCGGAGCGCGAACGCGGGGCCGCCGCGCGGTCGTCGCTCGACGCTCCCCGCGGCGTCCGTCTCGCCTCCGCGCTCGCGAAGTCGCGCTTCCACGAGCCGATCGAGGCCGTGCGTCGTCGCGGCCTTTCTCCCGCCCCTCTTACTCTTCTTCTTCGCGGTCTCGCTCTTCCCTCCTCCTCCTCCTCCTCCTCCTCCGCCGCCGCCGCCGTCTTCGTCGCCGCTGGACCAGTCGAGCCAGTCCGGCTGGCGACTCCCTCCGCCCTTGCGCGGCATCGCGACGCGCCGAGAAGTGCCCTCGCGTCGAGACGCGTCGAGCCTCGCGTACTGTATTATTCCTCGACTCGTCCGACCGCGCCGCGCGTCATTCATTATTCCGATCGCTAACAACGCGCGCCGCGGGACTCTGCATGTCGTCCGCGTCCGTCGCCGCGCGTCCCCTCCGAACGACGTCGCGCGCCGCTCGCGACATCGTTCGCGAGAGCGTTCGCCGAGCGCGCGCGGTCGCGTCGTCGTCGGAGCGACCCCCCGCCCCAGAAGCGCGTCGCCGTCCGATCCCGATCGATCGCCGAACGCTCCTCCTCGCCTCCGCGACGGCGGCGTCGTCGCGCGCGCTGGTCCTCGCGACGCTCCGCGCGGACGCGGCGGACGAGACGGACGAGACGGAGAGAGAGACGACGCGCGCGTCCGCGGGCGGCGCGCGGGATGATCCGGACGGGCGGTCGGCGTCGACCTCGACGGCGACGTCGACCCCCGACGGCGACGGCGCGACGCGCGACAGCGGCGAGGACCCGTGGGAGGGGTCGTACGTCAAGCCCGCGCTGTCGGTCCGCGAGTACGTCGAAGAGATCGACAAAGAGCGCGACGCCGCGTTCGCGACGCTGCGCGCGCTGTGCGCGTCCTCCAAGTTTGCGGCGCTCTCGAACGAGCTCGTGCTCGCGCCGACGGACGACGTGCGACAGGCGGCGTACTACCTTCCGTGGGCTCTCGTCAAGTTGGATGAAGACGCGGGCGTCACGACGCAGCGCGCGTGGTCGGAGATGCGAGACGCGCTGACGTACTTGGACGCGACCGCGATCGACGCGAGTCGGTACGACGCGGAGGAGGAGGACGTGATGGCGGGGATCGATAGGGTGGAGCGCGCGCTGGACGCGCTGGTGGACTCCGTGCCGGCCGCGTATCGGTGACGAGAGCGCCGGAGAGAATAATAGACTACCGTGCGTAGACGGAGCCCGGATCGGACGGCGGCGTCGCGTCGACCCTCTCTCGCCGCGGTCAGAGTAGTCGGCCGTTTAGTATCGCGCAGACTCGATCGGTTGGTTGTAGACCCGTCGGCGGTCGTGATCCTCATTTCAAACTACCGACGAGCTCGCGACGCGCCATCGAGTACGACGCGACAGCTGTGCGACGCGATCCGCCGCGCGCGAGTCGAGACGGAGCGCATCCGTTCCCGCTCGCGCGGCGCGGCGATCGACCCGTCGCCGCGTTCTTTCTTCTCTTCTCTCTTCTCCTCTCCCTCCTCCTCTCTCCCTAATCGTTGCTAGTACATCAGCGGCGCCCACCGGGACGCGTAATACCGTGTTAACCCTTCTTCCCCACTCGCGAGGACGCGCGGCGTCGGCGTTTAATATCCGACTCCGCGTCGCGCGTCGCGCCGGCCGGTCGCTTAGTACTCGATCTCGTCCAGGGCGTAGTTGTTCGTAGAGACGCCGGCGTAGTTCACCTTCTCGAAACGCACGACGACCGGGTAACGCACCCCGCTCTGGTCCACGGAGATGACCTTGCCGTAATCGTTGAACCAGTAGCTCTCCGGGCGCAGGATCTTCACCTGGCTCCCGCGAGGGGGGCCGATCGGCTCGGGCTTCTTCTCCGCGGGCGCGGCGGCCTCAGCCTTGGCGTCCTGTGGGACGCGCGCGATGTGACGTGGGGGGCGACGGCGCGTCAGCGTGATGTCCGGTCGTCGAAGACATCGTCGCGCGCGATGGCGGGGGGGATTGGATGTCGGGCGGGGAGCGAGCGCGTCGATCCGGGCGCGACGACGCGCGGACGATTTCGCCATCCTTCCGCTTCGCTCGCAGCCTCCCGAACGATTCGAGTTCGCGGATTCGGAGACGCGACGCGCGCGACGTTCGGACGCGGGCGATGAGACGCACCTCAGCGCGGACGCGGAAAGCGACGCGAGCCTTGTTCTGGGACTTCACGGAGAACTTGCTGCGGTGATGAGACGTCGGCGGGGGTGGGAGTCGTCAGCGCCGGTCGACCGCGACGCACGGGAAGGCACGCATCTATCGCGCGAGAAAAATAAAGACCTATCAAGCGACGGACGACGCGACGGAAACGTCGGCGCGCGCGCGATGCGCGGAGACTAACCTCGTCACGACCGAGCGAGCGGCGAGAGCGGAAGCGGCGACAGTCATGGCGGCCATTGCTGCGTGTGTATCGACGACGACGACGGGCGTGCGTTGGGTGCGGGAATAGCACCGCGCGCGTCGCTCGGCACGGTTTTATCGAAAGAGAGCTTCGCGCGCGAATCGATTCCCATTGGTCGAGAGTCGATTCGGTTTTCGTTCGTACGGGAAGCAGTCGGGAAATTAAACTACTGTACCGTACTCGACCGTACACCGTGTGTACCGACCGCCGTCTCGGGAGGAATTTTCGTTCCTTCCGTCGACCTCGGCAGTTCGGCGAGCGCGCCGACCGCACCCGCGCGCCGCGGGGGCGGAATGCGCGCGCGACGCCGCGCGGGTTGGGCGCTCGCGTCGCTCCTGCTGCTATGCCTATGCCTCGCGGGTATCACCTCGAGCGTGGACGCCGCGAACGTCAAGGCGAGTCGTCGTTCCGCCGCGCGCGCGGCGAACGAGCGCGTCCGTCCCGTCTCGTCCGATGTCTCTCGATCTCAACGACAATCACGCCACGCCGTCGCGCGGCGTCTCCCTCCCCTCCTCCCCGTCTGACCCCATCGCGTCGTCCAACGCAGGCCCCGACGCGGATACGCCCGGCGAACGCGAAGCGACTCGCCGCGCCGTCGTTCGCGGACGACGCGAGCGCGTCGGCGCCGCCGTCCACCGCGGCCGCGCGCGTGGACGGCGACGGAGGGCGGAGGCGCGACGATGATCGTCGCGACGTCGACGACGACGACCCGCTGCTCGTGTCCCTCCTCGACGGCACCGTCTGCGCGGTCGATCGCGACACCGGGGAGACGGTCTGGTCGTTCTCCTCGGGCGGGCCGCTCGTGCGAGCGAGCGGCGGCGGCGGCGACGGCGGCGGCGGGCGAGACCCCGCGATCGACGACGGCGACGACGACGACGACGACGACGCCGACGCCATTCGCGGGCGCCCGCGCGGGGCCCGCCCGGCGACGGTGTTCCCTGGCGTTGACGGGTCTCTGTACAGCCTCTCGCACAGACGTCGCAGAGACCGCGACGGAGGCGAAGGCGAAGTGGGGGGGTCGCAGCGATCGCACGTTCAGAGGGTCGTCACGCGGCTCCCCATCACCGCGCGGCAACTGGTGGACGCGTCGCCGTCCGCGACGAGGGACGGCGCGGTCGTCATCGGCAAACGCACGAGCGTCATCTTCGCGCTGGACGCTAAGAGCGGGACGCTGTTGCGAACGTTCGGCGCGGACGGGACAGTCGTGCGCGCGTCCGCGTCCGCGTCGTCGGGAGGAAACGCGGAGGAGGAGGAGGACGACGACGACGCGTTCACGTTGGAGATCCCCGCGGCGTCCGAAGGGGAGGAGGAGGAGTTCGACGGCGCCGTCTACGTCGGGCGGACCGAGTTCGCGGTGCGGTCCGTGGACGCGCTGACGGGCGTCGAGCGTTGGAACGTGACGTACGGGGAGCTGCGTCCGCTGCTGAGGCGCGGCGGCGCGGGACCCGGACCCGGACCCGGACCCGCGGGGGGGTGGTTGTTCAGGTGCGTTCTATACACTGGTCCCCATACGGCCGCGTTCACGTGGTGAACGCCGATCCTTAAGGACTTTGCCCGGCGTATCTCTCCGCCCACACCTCGCTTTCAATCCCCGACCGCGGCGCCTTTGAACGCCAACTGACGCCTTTGAACTCCACTCCGACATTCGCTTGTATAGAACGCCCCTCACTCCGAGGGACGACATAGCCGTCGGAGGGACGGGCGGCTCCGGCGGGGGGCGGCGGCTGTCCACGGGTCCCGGGAACGCGTTGCGCGCGTCGTCGCCGGACGGCAAACGCGCGCTGTGGTCCGCGCGATTGCCGTCGGTGCCCCTCGGCGCGTTCGATCACCGCACGGGCGAGGCGTTCGCGTTCGCGGGGTCCGACGACGAGAGCGACGGCGCGCCGTCGGACGCGAACATGAACATTCTCGTCGGCGCGCACGCGGGGGGGTTCTACGCGTTGCCCCCGGGGCTCGGCGGCGGCGGTGGCGGCGGCGGCGGCGGCGGCGGCGGCGGCGATGGCGGCGGCGAGACGTCGACGTCGCTCGACGTCGTCCACGCCGGAGGGTTACTCCCCGTGACCGTCACCGACGGCGCGTACGACGACGACTGGGCGTGCATCCCGGAAGACCTCGCGGAGGCGGCGTTGAGGGGCGGGTACGATCCGCTGTACCCCGCGCTCGGCGGCGGCGGCGGCGGCGGCGGCGAGCTGTCGAAGCGGACGACGAACATCGCGTGGTTCGTGACCGGCGCCGCGGGCGCGGGAACGATCGTCGCGCTCGCGCTCGCGCGCCGCTCGTCGCGCGGCAGCGCGAAGGAGAGCGCGAAAGCCGGACCCGTGGCGGCGGGGCGGGGCAAGCGTGGAGGGAAACGGCGAAGGAACAAAAACGCCGCCGCGGCTCCCGTCGACGTCGACGTCGAGGTCGTCGCGAAGTCCGACCCCGAGCCCGAGCCTCCCCCCGAGCCCGAGCCCGAGCCCGAGCCCGAGCCGGCGCCGGCCCCGCCTCCGGTCAAACCCGAAACCCTAAACCCCCCCGAGCCTCTCGACGCGAGCGATAAGGCTGCGCTCGCGTCGCAGGCGGCCAACGTCGGCGCCGCGCCGACGGCGTCGGGCGCCGTCAAGGTGGGTCGGCTCCTCGTCGGGCCGAAGGTCTTGGGCTACGGCGGCTGCGGGACGATCGTGTTCGAGGGCGCGCTCGACGGGCGCCCGGTCGCGGTCAAGCGCCTGCTTCTTCAGTTTTATGAGCTCGCGCGAAAGGAGCTCGCGACGTTGATCGCGTCCGACGAGCACCCGAACGTCGTGCGGTGTTACGCGTTGGAAGAAGACGCGGATTTCGTGTACGTGGCGTTGGAGCGATGCGCGTCCACGCTCGCGGCGTTGGTATCCCCGCCGGAGGGAGGTGCTCTAGACCCTGATAGCCCTGTGCCGCCGCCGCTTGTGGACGTCGAGACCAAGGGACCGACCCGCGCGGGGTTGCGGATCATGCGCGACGCGTGCGCGGGTCTCCACGCGTTGCACGCGCGCGGCATCGTCCATCGCGACTTGAAGCCGCAGAACGTGCTCGTGACCGCAGCGTTTCGAGGCAAGCTCGCGGACATGGGGCTCGCGAAGCGGTTGAACTTGACCGAGGGGACGTCGTTCGAGACCAGGCTCGATCGCGGCGGCGGCGCGGACAGAACCGGCGACGATCGCGGCGGCGGCGGCGGCGGCACTTCCGGGTGGATCGCGCCCGAGCGTTTGCTCCACGGCAGGCAGGCGCGCTCGGTGGACGCGTTTTCGCTGGGGTGCCTCCTCCACTTTTGCCTCACCGGCGGCGGGCACCCGTTCGGGGAGCGGTACGAGAGAGACGCGCGCGTGCTTCGAGGCGACCACGACCTCCGCGCGCTCGACCACCTCCCCGAGGCGAGAGACCTCGTGTCGAGCTTGATTCGCGCGGACCCGGCGGCGCGGCCGACGACGTCCGAGGTGTTGCTCCACCCGATGTGGTGGAGTCGCGAGACGCGGCTTGGGTTTCTGAACGACGTCTCCGACCGCGTGGAGATGGAGGACCGGGAGAAGGGCGGGCACCTGCTGCTCGCGGAGCTGGATCGAGGGTCGTGGCGCGGCGCGCTGGGGGGGAAGGAGTGGACGTCTCGGCTCCCCGCCGGGTTGCTCGACAACCTCGGCAAGTACCGGAGTTACGACGGACGCGCGCTGCGGGACTTGCTTCGCGTGATACGCAACAAGTCGAACCACTACCGTGAGCTCCCGAAGAAGATCCAAGACGAGGTCGGGTCTTACCCGGACGGGATGTACGACTACTTCGCGAGGAAGTTCCCCGGGTTGCTCCTCCACGCGTATCGATTCGCGAAGGATAACTGCGCGCACGAGCCCGAGTTTCGAAAGTTTTTCTTTCCGAGCGACGACGGCGGCGGCGGCGGAGGCGACACCCCCGACGGCGGCGGCGGCGGCGGCGGTGGGCGAATTGACGGCGGAAGCGGCGTCGGCGGCGGCGGCATCGGCGGCGGCGGCGGCATCGGCGGCGGCGGCGACGGCGCGACGTCCGCGTCGCTCGAACGCGCCGCGCGAAAGGCGGCGTCGCGTTCCCAAAAGCGGGCGGCGGAACGCGCGGCGGTCATCGACGCGACGCCGCCGGTGACGTACCCCTCGCGCCCGGGGCAGCCCGAGTGCGTCTTCTACGTGAAAACGGGAAGGTGCAAGTTCGGGCACACGTGCAAGTTCCACCACCCGCCGGGGATACACGACTGACGACGGCACCACCGCCAGACTAGCTACTACGGTACTGTACTTCTAACTAGAGACTACTTTTACGTCCGAGGCCCTCCTCTCATCGCATCGCGTCCGACCCCGGCTTAAACGCCCTGACCGTGATGTTCACCCGGCTGTGCCTCATCCCCTCTTTGCTCGCGCTCGCGCGCACCCCGTGCTCGTGCGTCCTCTGCGTCGTCCCGTCCATCGTCAGCACGTCTCCGTGCGACAGCGGCACCGTCGCGAACGGCTTCTTCGCGCCTCTCCCGCGGTACAGGTCGAACAACCTCGGCGGCGACGCGTCCCCCCCGGACGCGAACGAGTACGAGAATATCGGCGCGTCCGGGATCAGGTCTTCCTCCGCGTCCGCGTGCCGTCCCATCCCCGCGGACGCGTCCGGGTACCAGTTCACGTGCGCGGCGACGCCGGCGGCGAAGGCGTCGCGCTTGGCGTCGCGGACGCGTCCGAGCGCGTCGTCCACGCACGCGGACACGAGTCGCGGCCACGCCTCTGGTGGTTCTTCCACGCGCGCGCTGACTTGCGCGCCGAACTTGTACCGCGCGCCGAACGTCGCCTGCTTGCGCTTGATGAACGTGTTCGCGTTCAGAGGGTTCCGCGTCCGCGCGACGCGATCGCTGAAGGCCCAGATCTCGGCGTAGTCGTCCGGCGCGCACGGGAACGCGCGCGGCTCGTATCGCACCACGGACCCCGGATGCGACGACGGCTCGACGGCGTAGTCCCCCGCGGGTAATGGCGCGTTCGCGGGCTTCGTGACGTTCGACGGCGTCGACGACGCTCTCTTCGCGAGCGTGAACGGGTTCGTCGTCGCCCCGGGCGCGGACGCGGAAGATTTCCTCTTGCGATCCGGGGACTCCCCGGCGTTCGGCGCGCTCGCGGGGCCGCGCGTCGCCGTCGCCGCCTTCATCCCGCACGTCCCCGCTCGGGTGAGCGCATCCTCCATCGCCCCGGGCAGCGGCGGCAGCGCCCGGGGCGCGCGGATCGGCGCGAGCAGCCACGACGCCGACGGGGACGCCATGGGGAGTGACGCGCCCGACGGTTCGGGAGCCGTTCTGACCTTCAGTTCCTTGAGTTTTTCCCGCGCGATTTCGCGATCGCGCCGCGGCCGCCGCGATCTCAGTCGAGCCCGCGCGTCGAGCACCGTCCACGCGTCCAGGCACGCGCGCGGTCGTTCTCCTCGTCGAGCACACACCGAGCGAGCGGAGCGTCGGATCGCGGTCGCGAAGCGCCGCGTCGTCGCTCGGGCGTCGTCGCGCGCGTCCTCCGTTCGAGATCGAGAAGACGGCGACGACGGCGATGGCGACTTCGACGCGCGCGGCGACGTCGAGCGTCCGCGTCGTCACCCCGCGCGCGCGATGCGACCGCGTCCTCCGCTCGCGATCGCGCGCGCGATCGCGCGCGCTCGCGCGCTCGCGCGTCGTCGTCGCGCGCGCGGCCGCGGACGACGCCGCGGACGATGAGACCCCCGCCGCGGGCGCGGGCGACGAAGACGCGAGGGTCATCGTCATAACGTCGGGAAAGGGCGGCGTCGGGAAGACGACGACGTCCGCGAACCTCGGGATGTCGATCGCGCGCCTGGGCTACCGCGTCTGCCTCGTCGACGCGGACATCGGCCTTCGAAACCTCGACTTGCTCCTCGGCCTGGAGAACAGGGTGATGTACACCGCGATGGAGGTGCTCGAAGGGGAGTGCCGAATGGAACAGGCGCTGATTCGAGACAAGCGGTGGCGATCGCTCGCGCTGCTGCCGATCAGCAAGAACCGACAAAAGTACAACGTCACGAAGGACAGCATGAACTTGCTCATCGACATCCTGAAGGACATGAACTTCCAGTACATCTTCATCGACTGCCCGGCGGGGATCGACGTCGGCTTCATCAACGCCATCGCCGGCGCCAACGAGAGCATCATCGTGACGACGCCGGAGATCACGGCGATCCGCGACGCGGACAGAGTCGCGGGGTTATTAGAAGCCAACGGTCTGTACGACGTGAAGCTCATCGTGAACCGCGTGCGCGCGGACATGATCAAGAAGAACGACATGATGAGCGTGAAGGACGTTCAGGAGATGCTCGGGGTGCCGCTGTTGGGAGCGATTCCGGAGGACACGGAGGTGATCGTGTCGACGAACCGAGGCGAGCCGCTCGTGTTGAAGAAGAAGCTCACGCTCGCGGGGATTGCGTACGAGAACGCCGCGCGACGGGTCGTCGGGAAGGAGGACTTCATGATCGACCTGGATCAGCCGAAGAAGGGGATCTTTCAGAGGATCGGGGATTTTTTCACGGGGGGGGAGGAGTGATGAGTCGGTTCGAACGAGGCGAGGCGAGTCCGAGGGTCGGCAGAGGACGACGAGGAACGACCGCCGTTCGATTCTTTCTACACTAAAAGCATTCATTTTTCTGATGAACGAACGACACGACACGACGAGAGACGGCACGACTCGCCCTGCGCGCGGCGCTCGTCACGCCCCCTCTAGGAGCTGCTCCGCCTGCTTCGCGAGCACCCTCGACAGCGCCGCCTCTCTCTCGCGACTCGCGTGCAGCTGCGATTTCAAGTTCCGCGCCTCCCCTCTCAGCTTCTCCACGACCCCTTTCACGCGCTCGTCGACCGAAGCCAACGTCGCGGCGTGCTCCGCCTTGAGCGCCTCGCACCTCTGCGCGGCGGCCTTCGCGGCGGCCGCCGCCTCCGCGGCGGCGGCGGCGCGCGCCTCGGCGGTTTCCACTTTCGCCGCGCGCAACGCCGCGGCGAGCTCTTCGTTCGCGTCCGATAAGCGGCTCGCCGCGGACGCCTCCGCGTTCCTGCGCTCGCGCACGGCGTCGTCTCTCTCCTCGCGCATCGCCTCCGAGGTCTCCACCGCGGCGGTCGCGCGCGCGCGCCAGCTCTCGTTCTCTTGCGACAACGCGTCGACGCGTCCTTGAGGGTCGTTCCATACAAGCGAACGTCGGGGTGGAGTTCATAGGCGTCAGTTGGAGTTGAAAGGCATCGCGGGCAGGGATTGAAAGCGTGGAGTGGACGGAGAGACACGCCGGGCAAAGTCCTTAAGGATCGGCGTTCACCACTTCAACGCGGTCGTATGGGAACCAGTGTATAGAACGCGCCTTGAAACTTGATGATCTCCAGACGCGCGTTCGCGAGCTGTTCTTTCAATTCGTCCTCGCGCGCGGACGCCTCGTGCCGCGCGCGAATCGCCGCCGCCGCGAGCGCGTCCTTGTGCTGCTCTTCCTGCTGCACGGACTCGGCCGCCGCCGTGGACGCGAGGGCTTCGAGCTTTTTCTGCGCGGCGTCGAGCTTTTGTTGCATCTTTTTCATCTGCGCCTCGTGATGCGTCCGCATGCTCTGGCTCCGCTCCGTCGCGGTCTGAAGCGCCTTCTTCGCGTTCGCGAGCTTCTCCTCGTTCTCCTTCTCTTTCATCATGAGCTCCGCTTTCGCGCTGTGGAGGATGGGAGGGGGGGGGGGGGATGTCAGAGAGAGGAAGGTTGGTGACGCGCGGGTGCCGGCTGTGACGTTTTCCCCCCTCGCGAGATTTCGACGCCGTCCGCGCGGGGCGCACCTCGCCATCTCCGCCGCTTCCTTCGCCGTGACCTCCTTCCTCGACGCGTTCTCCTGCCTATCGACCTCCTTCAGGAGCGCCACGCGCTTTTTCAGCTCCTCGTACGACGTCATCGCGACCGTACCGTGCGCGCGGCGTCGCGTTCTGATGGGCGCTCGCGAAGTTTCAACGGTTCACACAGTCGGCAGTTTTTCGTTCGGAGAACTGAGCGCGAGCGAGCGTTTCATCAGTTTTCGATGAACCAACCCTCACAACAGTCACCGCTCGGGCGCGTTTCACCCGCCGGCACTACGTCCTATTCCTAACCGCGGCTCGCGCCACCTACGAACGCGCCACGCCACGCGAACGACACCCTCCCTCCTCCGCGTGACGTCGCGGAGGGACCCCCCGACCGACCGCGCGCGTCGGTCACCGCGCGTCCACGCTACGGCGTCTAACTATTCGCTCATACCCGACAGCTCCGTCGCCACCGCGGACGCGGTGAACGCGAGATACAGACCGACCAGCCATACACCGAACCCCCTCGTCAGCCGATAGTCGCGCCTCGCCAACCACGCCATCGAGCTCGCGAGCGACGCGAGGACGAACGCGAACGACAGCGTCAGCACCGGGTGCGACCGAAGCGCGATCGGCGCGCTGAGGGTCGTTCCGTACGTGCGAACGTCGGGGTGGAGTTGAAAGGCGTCAGATGGAGTTGAAAGGCGTCGAGGGCGGGGATTGAACGCATTGGATGGGAGGAGAGACACGCCGGGCAAAGTCCTTAAGGATCGGCGTTCACCACGCCGACGTGGTCGTATGGGGACCAGTGTATAGAACGCGCCTGAAGTCGGCGCGCCAATGCGACGCGCAAAACGCGAGCCCCAGCCCAACGCAGAGGTTGAAGAGCGGCGAGGAGTGACACGCGGCGACGGCCATCTCCGGCGCGCCTCCGCGCGCGACGACGACGTCGGAGACGAGATCGCCGACGCTGTTTCCCCACGCGAGGACGGTGACGCCGAGGACGGCGGGGGATACCCCGGAGACGACGCCGAGCGCGGTGAGCGCCTCGAGGAGCTCCGTCGCGAGGAGCGAGATCCACGCCACGGACGCCGCGAACGCGAGCGGGAGCGTCTTGCTCCACCATCCCGGCGGGCGCTCTCGGCCTCTCACGGACCGCCACGTGGCGATACATGCGATGCAGCACGTCAGCGTCGCGGCCGTCCACGCGCCGCGCGAGAGCGCGACCGCAGCGCGGACGGAGAAGAGGATCGGGAGCGGCGCGCACGAGACGCTCGCGGCGGCGACGAACGGGCGCCACCGCGACGGCTCCGAAGTTGGGATCGTCAGCGCGCGCGCGATGTCCAGCGGCGCCTTCACGAGCTCGAGCAACGTCCGCGCGGTGGTGGACGCGGTCGACGCGGACGACGCGTCGTCGCCGCCGCCGCCGCCGCCGCCGCCGCCGCCGCCGCCGCGCAGCGCGGCGACGGTTTCCCGCCACCCGTCCCGTCGACGCGTGGTAAACGGCGCCTCGCCGCCTCTACGGTCGCCGCCGCCGCCGCCGCCGCCGACGCGACCGCGCTCGACCTCCTCCAGAGACAAAAGCCGCCGCCGTCGGACCCCGCCGTCGCGCTTCTCTTCTCCCCGCAACACGAACGCGACGAACGCGACGTAATACGCCGGCATCGCCGCCGCTTCCCACCGCGTCACCTCGCCGTCGAGCAACACGAACCATAACCCCACGACCGCGCACGCGTAGAACGTCGCGTCGCGTCTGTACGCGTCCGCGTCGACGTGAAACGGCGCGGCGATGCACGCGACGGCGCCGAAGACGGCGCCGCTCACGAACATCCCGGCGCTGAGGGTCGAGCGGAGGGCGTTTGCCCACGCGAAGCGACGTCGGGGTGGAGTTCAAGGGTACGTCAGTCGGAGTTGAAGGCCGTCGAGGCGAGTAGTCGGGATTGAAAGCGAGTGACCCTGGGCGGAGAGAAACGCCGCCGGGAAGTAAAGTCCTCGAGGAACGGCGTGCACCGCGCGCACGGGGTCGTATGGGGACCAGGGTGAGACACAACGCGCCTGAGCGTGGCGCCGATCATCCCGCCGCCGACGTCGCCCCCCGGGACCGCGGACAGGGTCCCGCCGCGACTCCCCCCACCCCCGCCGCCGCTCGCGCTGAACGCGGCGAGGCACGCGAAGACGTCCGGGGCGCCGTTCCCGAGCGCGAGCAGCGTGACTCCCGCGGCGGACGGCGACAGCTCGAGCGCGTCTGCGAGCCGTCGCACGACGGGGCAGAATCGCTCCTCGCTCGTCTCTCCGAGGAGGTAGAACGCGGCGACGACGACGGCGAGGAGGAGGACGGCGGAGAGCGTCGGGTGGGGGCGCATGACGCAGTAGTGGAGGCGGCGGTAGTCCACGAGGCCGTCGGTGGCGTCCGTCCCGCAGTGTCGCGCGACGTGCGCGCACTTGTCGCGCGCGGCGTCGATCGCGACGGAACCGCAATGGTCGACGTCCTCCTCCTCCTCCGCCGCATCCGCGGGTCGAAGCCACGGCGCGGACGCGTCCTCGCGGCGGCGGCGGCCGCGGCGCGAGCGATGGACCGCCGCGGTCGCGAGGTGCGCGCGCTCGTTCAGGAGGACGCGCGCGGCGCCGGGGTCGCGAGACGACGACGACGACGACGTCGTCGTCGCCTCGGGCGCGCCGACGACGACGTTCGCGTCGGGATCCCGCGTCGACGACGCGCCGTCGACCGCGGCGGCGACGGCGGCGACGACGGCGACGACGACGAGCTTGACGACGAAGCGACGCCCGCGGTGCGCGCGACGCGCCGCGAGGCGGCGGTCCCACGCCTCGCGAGGGTCGTGCCGCCCCGCCATGCGCGCGCGCGTCTGGAGGGACAACGAAACGAATCTTCAGAGACGGAAATCACGACATCCCGTCGTTAAAAACAAAACGCTCGACCGCTCACGCCATCCTCCCGCCGACGATGATCGGCACGACGTACGGCGCGCGCCTATCCGGCGTCGTCGTCGTCATCGTCGTCGTCGCCTCTCGCGTCCTTATCCGACCTCGGTCGTCCGACGGCGTCGCGTCGCCGCCGCGGTCCGCCGCCGTTTTCGTTCTCGGGTCGCGACGCCGCCGGCTCTTTCGCCGCTCGGACCGCGCCGCGTTCGTCGTCGCGGAAGTTCCTCCCTCCCGCTGCTGCTGATTCGACCCGCCGTCGACGCCCGGAGCGTAGGAGGAGGACGATTCGTCCCCCGACCCGGCCGCGGCGGCGAGCTTCCCGCCGTCGCCGCTCTCGCCGCAACACGAGACGACGTCCCCGCAGCAGTCCCCGAAGACGGCGCACTCAGGGTCATTCCATACAAGCGAATGTCGGGGTGGAGTTGAAAGGTGTCAGATGGAGTTGAAAGGCATCGAGGGCGGGGATTGAAAGCGTGGAGTGGACGGAGAGACACGCCGGGCAAAGTCCTTAAGGATCGGCGTTCACCACGCCAACGTGGTCGTATGGGGACCAGTGTATAGAACGCACCTCGGCGTCGCAGCAACAGTTGGGCTCCTCCGCGTCCGCGTCGTAGATGCACATCGCGCACTCGCCGACGCACGACCGCGCGATGTCGCCGACGCCGCACGCCATCGCCATCGCCATCGGAGGGGGCAGGGGGAGGGTCGACGCCGGGGGCGGGGACGGCATCGGGGGGTACGGCGCAGCAACCGAAGTCGTCGTCGTCGTCGGCGGCGGCGGCGGAGAGTAAAACGCGCCGACCGAGATCGCGGGCGGCGGCGGCGGCGTCGGGTAGTAGTAATCCGCGAACGGCGGCGGCGTCGTCGCGCTCCCGCTCCCGTACGCGAACACCACGCCGGACGGCGGCGGCGACGGGCTCCACGTCGGATCCGGAGCCGGGTAGGGCGTCGGGTACACGTACCCGGGCAGCGGCTCGCCCGGCGGGACGACGACGAACAACGCGTTCGCGACGGCCCAGTACATCGCGGTCAACACCGCGACGCGCGCGGAGACGACGACGAACCCGCTCACGAGCTGCATCGCTGTGGTCGCCGCGGCGGTCGCGGTCGTCGTCGCGACCGCCGTCCCCGTCGCCGCCGCGAGCCCCGCGCCTGCGCCCGCGCCCGCCGCCGCCGCCGCCGCGCCGACGGCGACGGACCCCGTCGCCGTCGCCGCGGACGACGCGCCGAGCGTCGCCGCCGCCGCCGCGAGGCCGGACGCGACGCCGGCCATTCCGGCGCCGGCGGCGTCGCATCCGGGGCAGCCCCAGGCGTTGTAGTACGACATGCCAGCGCCGGCGGCGCGGGCTCTCTCGTCGTCGTCGTCGTTCAGGGCGCCGACGCGGGCGCCGACGACTCGCGCGCTCGCGTCAGGGCCGTTCTATACAAGCGAATGTCGGGGTGGAGTTCAAAGGCGTCAGGTGGAGTTGAAAGGCGTCGAGGACGGGTATTGAAAGCGTGGGGTGGGCGGAGAGATGCGCCGGGCAAAGTCCTTAAGGATCGGCGTTCACCACGCGAACGCGGTCGTATGGAGACCAGTGTATAGAACGCACCTCGCCGCCGTCGTCGCCGCCGCCAAAGTCGGGGGCGACGCCGGAGCGCGCTTCCCTCCTCGGCGCGGCGCTCCTCGCCCCGCCCCGCGCTCTCTGCCTCGCCAACGCCGCGCAGTACCTGTCCCCCGGCGTCGTCGGCTCGGTGAGGATACCGATCGTCGCGCCGGTTCGCGTCACGTCGCACGCGCGCGCGCACCGAGCGCACGTCGACGCGAACGACTTGGCGTCGCGCGTCGTCTTCGCGCGCGACGCGCTCGGCGAGCCCACGCAGAGGGTCTCGCACACGGGCCACACGCACGTCTCCATCGAGGCGTCGTTCGCGCCGCTCCCGGCCGTCTCCTCCTCCTCCTCCTCCTCCGCGACCGCGACCGCGGGGTCGATGGCCTCGCACGAGAAGGCGGGGAACGCGTCGTCGTCGTCGTCGTCGTCGTCGTCGTTCGCGGACCTCGGGGCGAGCGCGCGGTCGCACAGGAACGACGTGAACGCGCGCTCGCAACGCAGCGCGACGCGCGTCGCGTCCGCGTCTCGCGCGTCCACGACGCGCAGCCTCGCGTGCGCAGCCTGGAGGTCTAAGCGCGGGTGCGTCACGCATCGCGTCGCCGTCGCGGCGAGCGCGTCCGCGTCGACGCGCGCGTTCGGTCGCGGTCGGACGCGCGAGGAGGAGGAGGAGGAGGAGGAGGAGGAGGCGTCGGGGAGGACGAAGCACAGGCCGCGGTCCGACGCGCGCGCGCCCTCGCGCGGCGCGAGGAGGAGGAGGAGGAGCGCGAGGGCGAACGGAGCGCGGCGCGGGAGCGCCATGACGCGATATCGAGCGCGCGCGCGTCGTTCGCGTCGGCGCGGGGTGGGTGTGACGCGCGCCGACGGAACGACGGAGACGACGAGTCAGGTTTTCGTCTCGATTCGCACGACGAACTGAAGCCGAGCGAGCGAGAGAACAGAACGAGTCTTCTTTCTCCGGCGTCCGTCTCGGGGTACGAACGACTGGGAACCGAACGAGCGGCGCGAAGAGGACGTCGCGCGTCAGGAAGCAGCGCGCGTCGTCGCGTCGAGAGCGTCCGTCGCGACTCGCGCGCGCGCGGCCCGGTCGGGTCGGCGGTGATGGTATCGCGTTATTACATCCCGGGAGATGCGCTAGTAGTTAAAATTTGTCCCGTCCCGCGCGCCATCCATCCAAATCCATCCGTCCTTCTCCCTCCCTCCAGCGCACTGCAGTAGCGCTCTCTCTTAATCGTAGATGTCCGCGATCCCCAACACCGAGATCGTGAGCTTGATCTGATCGATGAAGTCAACCCCGGTCGCGTACTCCGTGAGCATCCCCACGAGGAGACCGAACATCGTCCACCGCCCGTTGTTGATCTCGTTCTTCGCCGTGAACCCGAACACCTGCGACTCCTCCACGGCTTGGTCGTAGTCCTGCTGCTTGAAGAACTGCACCATCTCCTTCGCTTTTCGCCGCTGGTACTCCACCGTCACGTTCCCTTCCTTGAGGACCTTCTGGACCTCGTCCGTCTCCGTCGCCGCGGTCGCGACGGCGCGGGATTTGACTGAGAGACGGGGAGGAAGAATGGAAAATAGCGCGCGCGCGAGCGATCGCGGGGAGTCGCGGGGAGACGGGAGAGGGCGTCAGCGACCGCGCGACGTCGTCGACGGGAAGACGCGAACGGGTCGTGACCACGACACGTCGCCGCGGACGCGAGCGCGCGCTCGCGCGAACGTAACGCGCGAACGACGCGCGCATCGCGACGCGTCGGACGCGCGCCGGCGACGGTTCGGCCGCGTCCGGGGCGGGGGCTGGCATCCTATCTATCCCCGGGCGACGGCGACGCGGGGACGGAGACGCACCGGCGGCGCGAGAGCGGAGCGCGACGCGTCGCTTCGACGCGACGGCCGCGGGACCGACGGCGCGGATTTGAGAGACGCAGATGGCGGCCATTTCTACCGGCGGGGCGTGCGTGCGTCGTGCGCGTGCGCGAGTGACCGCGCGTCGGTCGGCGACGATGGAAAGATCGACGTGGACGCCTCAGCCGTGCCACGTTTGAGGCTCACAGCGGAGGAGAGAGCGAGCGGTCGAGGGGATCGACCGACCCTCGCGCGTATGGGGGACAGTCAGAATTGCGGAACACACAAATACACTTCTGAGTGACTCGGTGATGAGAATGAATCCCCGGCGCGGAAAAAGTTCGAGCCCGTTTCCCCCCGCCCGGTCATCAGCGTGCTCGGCTCGTTCCCGCCTCGCCTCGCGCACTCGCGCACTCGCGCGCGCGCCGCCGTCGTCGAACGGATGGCGTCACCGCGCGGGTTCGCGTCCGCGGCGGCGGATCAGTGGCGTCGAGACGCGCGCGTCGTCGGCGCGCCGTTCGACGCGGGCCCCCGCGCGGACGCCGCCGCGACGGGGGGAGGAGGAGGAACGCGACCGGGGATGTTCGCGTTCGGGATGAAGGGCGCGCGCGTCCCCGGTGAGGCGAACGTCCCCGCCGGCGGCGCGGGCGCCGCGGCGTGGGACTACGTCGCCGGCGCGCCGTCCATCTTGGGCGCGATCCCGTCCTTCGTCGTCGCGCTCGTCGCGGCGTCGCTGTGCGTCGTCGTCGCCGCGGCGATCCTATGGTCCGCGCTTCGCGTCGCGCGATTCGTCTCCGCGCGCGTCCGCGACGTCGCGCTGACCGCGGGCGCCGCGGTCGAGCGGTTCGAGGAGTGCGTCGGGAGGAGCGCGACGTTGGGGATCGCGAGGGTCGTCATCGCGACCGCGTCCGCGGTGACGCGCGCGGTCGAGGGAGCGGAGGATCTCGTCTCCAGGGCGTTTTTCCCCCTCCCCGCCGCGGACGACGGAGGCGGGGACGGCGGCGACCCCGGGCGCGCGCTCGGGGATGCGATCGGCGCCGCGGTCGCGCGCGGGATCGGCGTCGAAGGCGGCGGCGACGGCGACGGGAAACGCGCCAGGGAGGAGGCGTGGAGGACGATCGCGGAGGCGCTGGCGTCGTCGTCGTCGCGGCCGAATGATGACGGGGCGGCGGCGGCGGCGTTCACGGCGTCCTTCGTCGAAGCGTGCGAGCTGTCGTTCGCGACGACGACGACGAAGAGCGCGCGAACGACGACGACCGCGGAAAAGAACGAACAGACGCGCGGGGGTATAAACCTTAAGAGCGGCGTCGACGCGACGACGCCGGGGCGCGCGTCGCCGTCGAGCTCGGAGTCGTCGAACGAAAACGAAAACCCCGCGGCGGCGGCGACGCCGGCGGGGACGTCGGGCGCGCCGCCGCCGCCGCCCGCGACGCCGGCGGCGATGTCTCCCCCCGAAGTCGTCGAGGTCGAGGACGCGGTCCCGGAGACGCCCACGGCGTGGACGCGCGGCGCGAACGGCAAGGGGAACGCGTCGCGGCCGCAGACCCCCGGGTCGTGGCTGAAGAGTTGGAGGAGGAGTTTCACGCCGAGGAGCGCGAGCGCGCGGAGGAGAAAAGGAGCCGCCGAAAAGGAGCCGCCGACGCCGGCGCCGTCGACCGCGGTGAAGACGCAGCGCGAGCGACTCGCGGCCGCGCGCGCGGCGAGGAAGGGGAAGGAGAAGGACAGAAGCGACGCGGCGGCGGCGGCGGCGGCGGCGAGGGAGTCACCGAACGGGGTACCGAGCGGCGCCTCCGTCCCGGCGTCGGCGTCGGCG